GCTAGAGTTGTGGCTGGCACATGACTTTCCTGGGCCTCTAAATCACCAGTTTGGGGGCTGGATCAGAAATAAGCATTTCAGTCTTCTTGGTACAAGCATAGTGGAGGTTAGGACTGAAGAATCAGAGTGGCAGAGCTGGAAGGATCTGTAGAGATGAGCTGGTCAGACCCCTTATGCATATGGAGAAACTGAGGCACGGAACAAGGAGACTTATTCAAGTTCACAGAGCATGTCAGTGCCAGAGCTGGCATTCTCCTTAAAGGAGTTTCTCCATCAGCCTCGCCCTACAGAGTTGGGGCTGGAAGGAGGTGGGAGAGAGCATGGGTGGGGATTCTCCCTGCTATGGCAAGATAGGAAGTGCTCTCCCGAACAGTCACTGGTACACCTGGTTACTCGTTCTTAATAATTTGGCAGCATGTTGGTAACACCTTGTGGCGGGCCCAGGGTACAATGACTTCAGAGGGTAGTAGGTCTCTGATGAAACATCAGTGATGCCTCCAGGATTTCCGCAGAGGAGGAATTTAGGGCCAGAGATCTGGGGGGAAAGGAGACTGAGATTTGCCCTGAAGCTGCGTTTGCATAGCGAGTCTACTGCTGTCACTTAGATCACGGTTTCTCAGTTCCCACACTATTGACATTTTAAGCCGGATAATTCTTTGTGGTGGGGGACTATCCTGTGCCTTGTAGCAGCTCTCAGTCTCTACCTACTGGACACAAGGAGCACCTACCCTCCCAGTGTGTCTCCAGACATTGCCAAATGCACCCTGAAAGGCAAACTGCCCCATTTGAGATCCACTGACTTAATTATATGTTTAACTAGCTGAGAGGGCATGATGGAGAGTCTTCTAAAAGAAGAGAGGAGATAAAAATAGGAGCCACCCTTTCCTACAAGGAAAAAAAAATCATCAGTGGGATGATCTGTTCTAGGCAGAACTGTGACCTTTGACCTTACCCATGCACCCTTCCTTTCGTGACCATTTTCTTCTCTTTCATAGCTCCCATTCCTACGTAGAAAAAATTTTAAAAACTATCCACAAGGGCGCCTGGGTGGCTCAGTTGGTTAAGCAACTGCCTTCGGCTCAGGTCATGATCCTGGAGTTCCAGGATCGAGTCCCGCATCAGGCTCCCTGCTCAGCAGGGAGTCTGCTTCTCCCTCTGACCGTCCCCCCCTCATGTGCGCTCTTTCTCTCTCATTCTCTCTCTCAAATAAATAAATAAAATCTTTAAAAAAAAAACTATCCACAAAAAAATTAATATTTGTCTTCACGCTAAAAGTGAGACAAGCAGGATATAATAGTTACTGGGGGTTAAAAACACAAGCATTATATTCTTTTTTTTTTTTTTTTTTTTTTTTTTTTTTTTTAGAGAGAGGATGATATAGAGAGAGAGAGAGCACGAGAGGGAAGAGGGTCAGAGGGAGA